TGGCAGTGAGTTCAAAAAGTGTGCTGGATATTTTGGCAAGCTGTCTGTAGGTGTGGCCTCTGTAAAAAAGCCAAAGGGGACCTCGAAGCCTTCCTGCACAGCCTCCTTTGAAGTGAAGGGCTCTCCAGTCAGATTGTTCCCAAAGACTGGCATGGCATCATCTGTGCCGAGAAAGCCCAACCTATGAGTTTGGACGTGACCCAGTACAGATTACACTTGGGGCCATGAATAATAACTAGGGGGAATGCATCACATAGTAATTTTTTTTGTTCATTTATTTTGACAGCGGTAATTTATTTCCCATTATTCCTGATAAGGCACCCTAATGGAATTGGAAATATATACAAGGCACACTTCACTAAAAGCACCAGAGCTTTAATCATACAAGACCTCACTGCTGCTTCTGCTCGCCAGTCATTATCGGAATGAGGGGTGGGGAGAGCAGGGTGTTTTGTTTTTTTACCTTTCTTTTTTCTGAAGAATGCATACATGCACCCTGAGGGATGAATTAGGACACTTCCTAATCAAACCATTTTTGCTAGGTTATGCTCCAGAATGCATTAATGCTGGAGGAAATTCTCTCTCTCTCTCTCTCTCTCTCTCTCTCTCTCTGAACACTTCAGCTGTCTCTACAGAGTTAGGACTGATTTGGTGTTTGGCTAGTGAGAAATTAAACACGACAAAAGTTATTTAAAATAATAATAATAATAGTGATGCAGTTATAACCAGCAAAAGTGTTCCACCTCTCTGCTACAGATAGTTCTAAGGAATTTTGCATTTATTAAAAAAGAAAGAAAAAGACACGTGGGCTCCACACTTGCCCTAAACAAACAGCATCAGGGCTGCTGCGAAACTGATTTGTCAAATTTCTTTGTCAGGTGAAAGCCCATTAATTGACCAACTGGATCAGACCAAACTTCAGTCAGATCTTGGTCCCTAGTATCTACCCCTAAATATGTTGCTAGGCCCTCTCCTTGTGAATTTCTCTTAATCCTTTTTTAAGATCCTGCACTATTGGCCACCACAGCATTCTGTCTCAATGGGTTTCATAGGTAGATTATAGTTTTATAGATTAAGTTTCTCCACATACTGACTGCTTCGTTGGCTGAGTGCTAGTATGCTGGTGAGGTGGGGGAGGGTAGAGAGAAACATTTATTGGGCCACTTTTCCTTTCTTTATTTCTTTTGGTTCTGCAGTGTAGTAGAAATGAAGTACTTCTTATTGTCAGTGGTTCCCCAGAATTTCCTGAGTGTCCTTGTTTACTTTTTCCGCCATCAGCAAACCTGTATCTGAAGATGAAGCAGTCTCTTTATCCAAGGAGCCCTATGCTTTCTGCGTTGCACTTGAGCAAAAACTCAGCAACATCTTTGTTATAACTACATCAGTTGATCCCCTTCTTGCTCAGCCAGTAGAATTTTCTTCAGATTGAGAATGAGGGAAGTTCTGTTCCCACATTCTGAATAGAATCAAAATGCTTCTTTCCCCTGAAAATACCACGGAGAGTAGAAAAGGAAGTTCTGGGAAGTCTTGGTCTTCAGAGGTATTCTGCCTTTGAATATGGAGGCTGTATTCAACTGCCATGCCAATCTGTTCTCAATAGGATTATCCTTCAAGAATTTGTCTTCAGCCTTCAAAGAAGGACTATACAAATTAGTGGAGGATGTATCTGTTCTCAGCGGTTGGACCTTATTGTGGCATTGACTTAAATACGAGACTCTTGGAACTAACAGAAGGGTATTGGCCATTGGGGTCAGATGCTTGGCAAATGTCCTGCAGTTGACCAAAGACAAAAGACATGATCCACCTGAAAGGTTTTTATGTGTAAGCCATGTCAAAAGTAACTTCAAACTAGCCTGGATTTACACCCTAGTACAGTACCAGTTTGTTAACTAGTCTCTGGACCCTAATCTATAACGAGTCTCTGGGTGAATTCTGAGATCCCAAGAAAGGTTATTGAGGGCGAAGCCTTTGATCCTGTTAAGCAGGTAAAGGATTAATTGTTCATCACCTCCTGGGAAACAGATCAATAACCACTACCCAAAGAAAGCAGCCTATTCACTCACCCTTCTGTTACTGTCATTTGCTTACTCAGTGGCTGTCAAAGGACCAAAATCCATGTCAGAGCAAGTTGCCTTCCAAAGAAGGGGGAGCACAAATCAGTTCCCACAGAAAAGATGGATTGCGGGAGCCTCTCAGTCAATTATGGATTTCACCTTCCTCCCCCTCCTCCCCCGTGGCACAGTCAGCATGACAGGTGGCAAGAATGGCACTAAGGGGAAATGAGGGAGAAAGGGCACTGGAAGTAACCAAGGGAGGGGGGAGGGTGCCTGTCATTTGCTCAGGCCGTTTGCCTCTTAATGGAAGCATGATTGATTTGTTGCTGCTGTAGTGCCCGTGCTCCCCAGAACATGGATATTTAAGTTAGGAAGGAAGGAAGGAAGGGCAAGGACATTTTAAAGGCAAAAGATGATATAAGGCAATACATGCCTTGTTATTGGCTTCCTTCTGTGCAAAACCTGCAAATATTGGCATCACGTTTGTTTGGTACCAGGAGAGAAATGACCACCTTCCACTTTGCACTTTTAGGTACATGGTACTTTGAGGGCCCAAGCCATCTGCTTATTTGTTTTCAGAGGCAGTGAATGTTAGGGATGTGCTGAGCCCCCAGGAAATTCCCAGGCTTTAATCAAAACCCTGTTGCCTTGACAATCTTCCGACATCCAAATCCCCTAATACACCTTAAGCTGGGGAAGGCATTTAGTAGCAACTCTAGAATAGAGAGCTCCATAGTCTCCTTCATTCTTTGAGTTGGCCACACCCATGATGTAAGGGAAATGTTTTTGTATCATGGGGACCTTTCTCTTAATGCTTAATCGAAATGACCCTCCATAACTATAACCAGATTGAAGCTACCTTTTGATAATTTACTGTGTTTTGCCTTCTTATATTAACCTGAGAACAACCCTGCTGAATCAGGCCAAAGATCCATGTAGCCCAGCATCTTGCTTCCCATGGTGTCAATCCAACTGCCCTAGTGGGAAGTCGCAAGCTGGAAGATGACAGCAATAGCTTTTTGTCTGCCCCGAGTCTGTTGCTCATTGGCTTCATTGAAAGATTCTGAATTCTAGTGTGATGTGAGAGGGAGAAAACAGCAGCAGCAGCAACAGAGGGCAGGATGGAACCCTTGGCCCTTTTTTCTGACATTCTTCTAAATATTTGGAGTTGTCAGAATCTCATTGCCTGTATGCTCACTTTTGTAGCCTTCATATAATCAAACTTATGGGACATATCATTTTCCCCATATGTTATAATCAAGTCTTGTTTTATTATTTGTTGGTTGTGTAGATGAGCCCATATTGTAAAGCCAAAAGAAGACAACAGGCTGAAGGCTCTGTGTGTGTGTTTGTGTTTGTAAAGGCTCATCCACAGTTCCATGGCTTCTAGGCATGGATCCAAGAGTTTTTTTCTTTTGTCCCATCACTTTCCCTGGGAAAGCAAGCTGTTCACAGCTGAATTGGAGCAAACATCAATCAGCTTTTCTGTGGATTGGTGTTTGCTCTGATTTAGAGGTAAATAGTAAGTTTTCCTGGGGAAAGTGTCAGGTTAAAAAACCCCCAGCCCTCTTGAACCTGTGCCTAGAAGTCACAAACCAAATGGAAGAAATTGTGGGATGAGTAGGTAGCTGTGTTGGTCTGACTCAGTAGAAATAAATTAAAAAATTGTCCAGTGGTACCTTAGAGACCAACTACTGTAAGTTTGTTCTGGGTATAAGCTTTGGTGTGCATACACACTTCTTCAGATACAACACTTCTTCAGATGAGAGGGAGAGAGAGCACGACTGTTAAGAACATGGCAGATAACAAGTCCTGGTTGGGTCAGGTAGCTCTGTTCCTTTTTGTTAGTTCTAATGAGTAAGCAGCTGTGGGCAAGAATCCAGGAGAGTCAGTCAAGGAGAGAGAATTTGCAGTAGGAATGGGGAGACTTTGGTTCATTCGCATTTAAAAGCAAACCTACCTAATATGACCTTCCCAAAATAGCATGAAAAGCAATGCACAGGCATCCTTCAAAATTTTCACATCTTCAAATTTTGCAATGCACTTCTCTGGCTAAGTAATGTGTACTAAATGTATATACTAGGGTAAAGGGTGCGTAGTAATGCATATATTAGTGAAAATAGCATTTATAATGCATTATATTAGGGGGAACTGTTGTACAATGTATATTCAGCAAAATTGCATACAGAAATGTGTATATTAGAAATTTGCACTAAAATGCTGATGAACTTTCATGAGGCCTTTGTTGTTGTTTTTTAAAAAGTTACAAACTGATGTGGCGAACTGAACGGAAGACTAGAAAAATGAGAAACAGCGAAACTGAAATTAACAGATAGGATCTCCTATTTTGCAGAGTACAATGTTATCCTAGCAAAGGATGGCCACAATCTGGGGTACAAGATAGGATTTTCATACATCACTTCATGTGCTTATAGAAGCTGGGAAAGTGATTCATAAATTGTGTAAATAAATAAACAGCAATAAAAGACAAGGCTGTTTAAATGATGAGGTAGTTAAGCTGAAAAAAAATCCAGGATGGTTAAGTAGGGCAATTGGAGTGCTAAAAGATCTGCCCATCATGGTGACTAGGTAAGAAGGACAGTTCTGCAGCTACCTAACTGCTTGCGACTGCCTTCCAAAAAAGTCAAAGAATCTGGGATAAGTTCCCCATAGGTTCTAAATCTATATGGAATCCTCGTTGAAAGCATTTAAGCATGTTAGTACTTAGACGTTTGGCATTCTGCACTCTGAATCTGCAAGTCCTCCCAGAAGGAACGCAAGAAATGTGTGCTGTACAGCTGCAACCATTTTGAATTTCATGCTTGTGGGATTTCATTTATGCTTTCAGTAGTTAGTTGAGCCAATCATTTATCCTTGACAGGATGTTAAATGTGAAATGTACCATTTTTTGCAGGTGAGCCCAGCGCACCCAAGCTGGAAGGCCAGATGGGAGAAGATGGAAACTCCTTTAAAGTGAATCTCATCAAGCAAGATGATGGAGGCTCCCCCATTCGGCACTATCTCATCAAATACAGAGTTGTAAGTAAGACACTGCCATCTGGGCAAGCCCTGCGTAGTGTTTTATGAATTGTTTCCTGGGCTGTCAAGTGATTAAAAACATTTTTCATTCACTATGACTTCAGTCAATCTAAATTTGTATAAGTTTGCATATCATTCTGAAGCAGCCTTTTGCTTTTTAGATGACACACACGTGTGTCTTAGGAGGCACTTGCTACCTGCAGTCTTTAGAAATACTTGTGTTAAAAACAGCATTGTTTTAGAACAAAAATCTTGCTTCTAAGCTAATCCAGGACACATCTTTATTCAATTAAAAGTTATTTCCTTGGTTCTTCTGACCCAAGGCCTAGCCAACATGGTGCCTTCCAGATGTTGTGGACTAGAAATCCCATCAGCCCCAGCAAATGTGGCCAATCTTCTGGGATAATGGGAGCTGTAGCTCTCTCCATTTTGGGGGCCTGGGCACCAATTTGGCTACCTCTAACAGCTTGGGGCCCTCCTATTTGAAGGGTTGCTTTACCCCATATGTGCCTAATCGGCTGCTATGATCTGGGGAACTACTTGCACTTCTACGAGGACCATATAATGTCCATTCGGATTCTTTGGAGAGTTGACCTTTCAGTGTAGCAGCACCTTTGCTTTGGAATTCCCTGCCTATTAACTGTAGGCAGGCACCCTCACTATACTATTGCATATGCCTGCTAAAAACTGTTTCATTTCAGCATGCCTGCCAGGCATAAAATTCACTTACATGCACCTGTTTTTAACATTTTGCTAATGGTATCTGTATGTTATTCATAATTTTATGTTATTTTATATTTTAGAGGGTTTTTTATTTATTAGGTGTTTTATAAGAGGATGTAGCCAAAGATTTCTGTTGCTGTTATGGCATCACAGGAGTGACAGTAATCACACAGCTCAAAGCTGGGGTTAACTCTTTATTAGCAGAAATACGATCTCTGAAGACTTGGTTGAGCGTTAGGCCTAATGAGCACAGCAGCTCATTCCTGGTGGTCTTACTCTGAGAAACGCAGTTGCCGAGACTGAACGTCCCCACCTCCTCACAGCTGTCTGTCCCCTCCTCTCCGGGGCTTTCCCCAAGCACTCAGAAACTGCACCTGCGTGCAGCCAACCTCTCCTTCGCCCTTTTCATGCCTCTTCTGGTTCTGGGAGGCAAGCAGGGAAGGGAGCTTGTTGCAGCAGGAGGAGGAGGAGACACCCATGGCTCTGCACCAGCCCTGACTCATGTCTATCTCTTAGCCCAGGCATAGGCAAACTCGGCCCTCCAGATGTTTTGGGACTACAAATCCCATCATCCCTAGCTGACGGGACCAGTGGTCAGGGATGATGGGAATTGTAGTCTCAAAACATCTGGAGGGCCGAGTTTGCCTATGCCTGTTTTAGCCTCTCTCCTACCACTCTCCTGCTACATTTTCTGCCTCTGATTCTGGACTTCTCTCTGCCACCAGCTCTCAGCTCACTAAACCCTGTTACCTCTTCCCAGTCTTCTCCCTCTGACCACCCATTGTTGTCTCACCCCAGGCTCTGAGCCTTCTTCCCTTGGTGGTTCCCCAGCTGATTCCTCCCATTATACCTCTGTGTCCAACCAGCCCACGACATAAGTTGGTTGTTGGTATGTGTTGTACAACTCCGTTTACAGTCTAATGTATTTATGCTTATATTTTTCTGTGTGGTGGGGAAGAGGCAGGATGACCAGGCCTGATCCCTGCACCATCTGCAATATGACACAGCAATCAGGTCCAGGTCAAGCCTGATACAGTCGCCTGCCATGAGTGAGACTGGCTTTGGATCCAGCCGAACCTCAGCCAGGCTCAACCCCACCTCTTCCCCAGCCTTGGATCATTTTGGATCTTTCTGCTGGCAAGCATCCCACCATTGCACTTCATTGAGTGCAGCAGGCTTTCAGTGAGTGCAGGGTTGAGCTTACCTTGTCTTTTCAAAGTGGCTTAAGGTGGTGTTTTTTCTTCTTATTCCAATTAAACATTTCTCCAGTGTTCTGTAGCCTCCTTGACTGCCAGTGGTTCATGATACGTGGGATGGGGAGATGCCTCCCCATCATAGCTGTCAACTTTTCCTTTTTCTTGTGAGGAATCCTATTCGGAATAAGGAAATTTCCCTTTAAAAAAGGGAAAGGTTGACAGCTATGCTCCCCATTTTCCTGTGCTTACAGGAGAACACTGCCAAGAACATTGTGGGTTTTCAGAAAGTATAGGTACCCGAGGGGGCTGTAGAATGCAGACCCCTAGAGCAGTGACTTATACCCTGAAAGAAAGGCGGCCCACAAAACTCCTCTGCCACCTCAAAAGGGAGGTAAGCACAAGACAAACCCAGCACACCACCTGTGAAAATTTCAGCACAATTTTATTTCCCCTTTTGTGACTTTTAGACGTACTTTCTTTTCTCGTTATTTGATGGAAAGTGGTAAAAAGACCCTCTCCCCGCTAAAAAAGACAGAATCGTTTTTCGGCCAGTCAGAAGCTATAAGGCATCTTCCTAGGCTCCTTTTATTCCTACCACTTTTGTGCCAAAGGCATTACTTTAGGGCAGAGAGGCAAGGAAACCGTTTGTCTGGATCTAGATGTTCATGCGTGTTCAGAAATCATAGCCTTGTCTAAACAGCAGCTCACTGCTAAACTGCCCTCCCTGCCTTTTCTATCCATTCCCGCAACCCACGCTGCATTTCCGCAGAAGCATTCTGCTGAATGGAAACCTGAGATGCGTCTTCCTTCAAGCAGTGACCATGTCATACTCAAGGCTCTGGACTGGAACGCTGAATACGAGGTCTATGTGATTGCGGAGAACCAGCAAGGGAAATCCAAGCCTGCGCATTATGCCTTCAGGACTTCAGCGCAGCCAACCATCATCCCAGGTATGGCAGCAACCAGCTTCCCGCCATTGTTTTCTGCTTGGAATTAATGCAACAGCGCCACATCCTTTAATGTGCTTGAGTTTTTTAAAAACCAAAAAACACCAAAATCCTCAGCAACTTGCTTGCTTACAGCCATTCTCATAACCGGTTACCCATCTAAAGCTTTATTACTCAGCCTTGGACATACCAAACACGATAGGTCGATCCATAGTACAGTCCAACTGGTTTAACCATTTCCCCTGCCCGCCAAGTCCATGAAGTGGTTGTTCTTTGTAACTCATGGCACTCAGGTGAGAATCTTCAAACCCATCGTCAAGGCAAAGGGCATAATCCAGGTCCCGTGCCATTGTTTCTGGCGATGTGCTTCTCCTTTCCTCCAATGGCCAGTGCTGTGAAGCAGGCCTGGGGGACTTGTAAACCTTCAGATGTTGCTGGGCTACAACACCCATGATCCATGCCCACTGGCCATGCTGGCTAAGTCTGATGGAAGCTGGAGTTGCAGCAACATGAGGAGGGCCAACATCAGCAGGGACTGTCATTCAAATGTACCTGTGCATTTTTCACCCCTTCATACCACAGGAGCATCTCTGGCGTTGAAGCTTAAGCAGATGAGATGCTCAAGAAGTGTGAGCTTCTCTCCTTCTTAGTTCTCACATGCGATTTTTTGCTTTCTTTCATATTGGCTATTTCCCAAAAAATATCCAAAGGAGATGCAACCTTAATATTCAAAGAAAGCGTTCTAGCTTGATTTTTACCACACAGAGGTATATTTACACAAATGAGAAACCACAGAAGAACTGTAGTAAATTAGGCACTTCATGGTATTATTAAAAATCAAAAGCGTAACTCAATCTTTCTAATGCATACCATATATCAAGCTAGTAATGCCTGGAGGAAAACTTAGCAGCTTTGGAGCAGCTGAAGAAGGCCTTGGCCGGGGTGGTTAACCTGTGCCCCCTCCCCCAGATGTTACTGGATTATAACTCCTATCCTTTCCTATTGGCCACACTAGCTGGGGCTGATGGAATCTTAACATTTCTAAAGTCGCAGGTTAACCACCCCTTCTTAAAATGTCAACCACAGGCAAAACCAAGCTTAGGGATTAGCAAAAACTCTGGTGACACTTGATATTAAGTACCATTGTGACCATGAAATTGTTCACCTCTACAGAACTCTTGCTATTTTAGACCTTGAACAAATAGCGTCTCAAAAATAACTGTTTTGGCACATTGAGATATTGATTGCACAGCAAATGCAGAACACCGAGTCCACAGGCAGAGCAGCTGCCTGAATGTTGGGCTATGAAATCACGTTGCAACATGCTGCTGTTATTTGGAAAGTAATGTAGTGAGCCGTATGAGGAAAATCACTCATTCACTTGCCACACACCTCTTAGCCTAAGCTTTCTATACTTGGTAATAAGAAAAAAATTAAAATTCAACATTTCTTGCCAAGGCAGCTTAATCACACATTGTGCCAAGAAGAACTGAACCTCATGACGCAAATTAAAACCATGTTTATATTTGGCTTCGTTTGCTTAATCCATTTTGTGTTGGCTCATGAAGGTAACGGGCAAAAGAGGAAAACATTTTAGGAGCTAGAAATAGATTTATACTAGGCCTGACATATTTTGGGGGTGCAGAATCCTTCTGGAGGGGCATATGTCTGCAGCAGGCAAGTGCAAGGGATACTAGAATCACTGCAGTATCCCTTGAATTTAACAACTGCTGCTAGAAGCATGTCCCCAAGGAGGATTCCCCACCCACAAATAAATCCCATTGTGCCTGGAATACATCTATATTTACTCTTTTTTGCCTATCAGTGATGTTTCCCCCATTTTTGTGGTGTATTTTACTCATCAACTTGATGAGCAACAAACTAGAGAGAAGGCTAAAGACTTCACTCCCTGTTCATGGCAAGCCCTGTGCCTCCATGCATATAGCTCCATTTTTGGGTAAGGGTAATGGAGACACCTTGGAGAAGAAGGCTTTACTTGGGCTTTGTGGTAATCTTTGCATTTTGCCTTTTCTCCTCTTACTTTCGGAAGGGTTGAGGTGGACACAATGTCATTTGCCACCTAAAGATTATGCCTAACTCAGTAACATACTAAACTGACTGATGTTCTCGTTTGCCACACCAGCATCTCTAATGTTCCACACCATCAACTCTTTGAAGGACAAATTTCATGGCCAGAGCTGTAACAAATTCTGGGGTAGGGCAGTGGTGGTGTTTGGTTCTCAAGCACGTTTTCCAATTCAAATTTCTTTCCAAGAATTTGAATTTATATCTTCCTGGTTTGACTTCCCCTTCCCCACCCCAGCCCCCAAACATTCCAAATTATTGTTGGATCCAGATCACTAAAAGAAAAAGAAAAATGGTATTTAAAAGGGAATTGAATTGGCTGGTTGAGATTTGGCATTAACGCCATAAAACTGAGTCACAGAACAGGCAGCCAAATTTCAAAGTTCAAGTCTAAAATTTAAGCATTTGGCTTTCTGGCTGGAAAATTCTTTCAAAATTTTGCAAAAAATAAAAAATCCATTTCAGCTCCATTTTATAACCTGTTTTAAGTTCAAATGGAAAATGTGACAGTTTACAAAACAGGGGTGAAGAGCAGTTGGTAGCCCTTAGGGTTAGCAGAGGTGCACAAGAAATTATCAGCTGGGAGGGACCAGAGAAGACTGGACTCTTCTTCCCTTTAATGGCGTGTGAGGCACTGCTGCCGTTGTGTGGTTTATTTAGCTCTGGTGTGGTGTAGAAGGTGCTATACAGAATGTGGCAAGACCATTCTCTGTCCAGAGGATTTGTAGTCAACATTATGCCGACACAATTGGCACAAGGGGAAGGAAGTCCAGGGCTGGCAGTGAGGTGAGGGGTTGGGGAAAGCATGGCAATTCTGGCTGGGACTAATGGGAGTTATACCCTAAAACTCCTGGAGGGCACCAAATTGGCAAAAGCTGCTTTGAGTCAACTCCCTCCTTGTTAGTGGTGCCCATCCTCCAGCTTGGTAACCCATAGGTCCCAATCTCTATGCCAACAGCACGTACTGTCGGCCACATTCTGTATTCTTAAATGGGAGCAGCTGACTTGTTAGAGGTTTGTAGTCCAGGTAAGGTCTGAGACGTGCCTCTCTTGGGAGACCCAAGTGGTTATTAGGAGACAAGCTGCAATCTCTTCCCCAGTATTTCTGGATGTTGTGGGTGTTTTTATTGCCAGCAAGGATTCTCTGGGGCAGCTGCTTATGGAGTTCTACCCAAGGACGATTAGAAAGGCAGAGGCAATTCCCAAAGTTGAGGCGAGTTTCTTGGGCAGGCTGGGCATTAGGTAGAAGTGGGCTTGTTTATTCTTGCATTGAAAATCCCCATTGGAAAGTGTTCCTTTGCCAAATACTGCCAGCTCATTCCCTTGTCCTCCAAGCATCCTCTGTCACAGTGTTGATTTCCGTCTCATTTGCTCGCTAACCCTCCATCCTCTCCAAATTCCTCTTCTCGCTGCCAGCTTCCATATAAACCTTTACCATTACCATTGCTGCTGCCGCTGCTGCTCTGTTTTTCTAACCTTTTGGACATTTTTTTAAAAATTATACTAAGTTAAATAAGCCTTTTAAATTCTTATTGTTTTTTCTATATTTATGATGTTTTTTTTTTCTTTTACCTATTTTTCTCTCTTTCTCTCTTTCTTTTCCCCCTGTATCCCTTCCCCGCCCTTGTTCCTTTCCTGTGTCTGTCATCATACATGTCACTTTGGACCCCAATGGAAACATCCACTTCACATACACCCAATCTTTTGTTTTAATAATGATGATGATGGTGATGATTTAAAAACCAACAACACCCAACCATTTTCTGACCCCATCTTGGGAATCATTTGTGGCGGCTGCAGCAACCCTGGGATGTCCAGCGGCCTCGTCCCCCTTTGTCTTGTGGCTCATCTCTGCAGCAGCTCTGCTTCTGCTCTGTTAGAAACTTTTGCAAACAACAACAGCATCAAACAGATATTTGCTTTTGAAGACCCTGGTTTTCTTGCTGAGGCCTGAAAGCAAGATTAAATTCCTTATTTCCAAGGATTGCTTCTGAGGGTCGGGAAATAAAACGCAGAACACAAGAGATCCATTATTTTTGGGGAGAGATGTGCTATTTTGTAATGAGGGAGGGAGATAAAAGGTTCAAATTGGGCATTTTTACTGTTTTGTGTGTGCATCCTGTACCATGATTCCCTCCCTCCCCCGTTTTCAAACACTGGATGTAAAAACAACTTTTCAAATTACAAAGGGGGAAAGAATGAAGAGTGTTTCTGATACTGGTCTTTGTTGCCATTTTCACACTTCACTGTTTGTTCATCCTTGCCAATAGTTCAACAGAATCTTTTTTAACAAACTAAGAAGAATAAGAATAAAATAATGAGAAGCAACATCCAAAATTTATGGTTGCACACTTCTCATCTTGATGTGACTGGAGTTACTTGGGGTAGATTATCCATGAGGCTTTTGTCATGTGTTAAAAGGGTTCCTAGGAACTAGTTTTGCCAGAGCATGTCCAACTCAGGATGGTACATTGCAGCTTACATTCATTAGAAAACCTGTGAAAATCTAGTTGGTTCAGTAAGCTGATGCCTGTGGGTTTGTGGAGCATTTTGGCTGAGCCCTGCAAACTCTGTCCATAGCATTCTGAGTATATTGCAGTGGCAATAACAAATCTACCTATGCAGCCATGTGAGTTCATAAGAGTTCTGAGCTTGTTTTTAACTTGCAGAACAGTTTTTTAAAAAATGAGGAGGGGGCATGCAAAACATGGCTTCTCTATCTTGCAATCTGAAGTGGCACAGGCCACTCTGCTACTACCAAGGCTCTACCACACTTATTCACACACACATGATTTCAGAAAGTTCATGGTGCCATACAGAATGACAGCCTCAGGTAAGGTATTCAGACAACCAGTTTGCCCCGGGTGCCATTCAGTACAGAAGGAATACATCTCTGTATTAGGACCTTAGGACGTTCACTGTGATGCCACAGCCATTTGTTCAGAACTGTTAGGAGTTTTACATGTTTCCATTCTTTTTTTTTAATGAATATCTGGCTGTGTGGTAGCCATTTCAAACGGTTAGCTCATGCCCACCCCCAGTGCTTGCCAACATGCTCACCATGAGTTGGGTCCCTTAGCATCAAATGGCAGGCAGACAAAGTCATTTGAGTACCAGCTGGTTCAGCTTTCTACAGTGCAAGTTTGTATGACCATTTTAGTCTAGGTTTCCATTGCTGTGCTGAGAAGTTCATAAGAAGCTGCTCTCTGCCCTTTCAACAGTCAAAGGTTAGCTGGGAATACATAACCTACCAAACTGATATATTTCTCCTTTGTCACCACATTCTTCACCGTATGAGTTCTAGCTAATAGGAGATAATATGGCACATATAGCACATTTCCCATTTAGAGTCCAGCTCATTGCTATTTGTGCTTTATTATAACCTTTTAAAAGCTTCTTTCATATGTCAGTACAAAACAAAAGGGATGCATGCCCACCATATTTTTTCCACACAGCATTACATGGAAATTCCATCACCCCTAGTCAGTGGAATTAATTAACAGAGGGTTAGGAAGGCTCACCTTTGGGGAAAAGAGAGAGAGAAACCCTGTCGTTCCACTCTAGTTTGTCAAAAGGTCTGGATTGGAATTGGAAATAATTTCCAAGTCTTAGCACAGCCTTGGGGATTGTTCAAGATGTGGAGAGAGACCTACTGCAGCCTGGGGACATCTCTTCCCTCCAGATTTGATCTAGAAATTGGTCCATTCCAATGAGGACACAAGAATCCAGCTCAAATTCCGATAAAGGTGGAATTTCTTACCATTCCTATTCAGGAATGCTTTTGGTATGAGATAATTCTGTCTGAGAGCAAGGGTTAAATTTAGATGATACACAAGATTGTTCCGATACCCATGACTTTGCAAAGCTATACATGAAACACACATTTTATTTGCACCTGCTGTGCTTGGTGATTGCAAAATGCTGCTTGAAAAGTTCAAGTGAAAAGACGAACCATGAACGTTCAGTGCCCAGCTAAGAGTTGGGGTACTGATAGAGTGAGGTCTGTGTCATATTTTGAGCAAAATTCAGAGATTCGGAATCCATAGCGAGTCAGTTGAGATGGAGTTTGCAGTTGAATTTGTGCAATGGAAATCCGCATTCGGAATTAGCTCACAAGTCAGAATAATTCACAGTGACACAGTGGAGTGTTGATTCTGGATTCACAGGCAATTCAGTCTCAGCTTGCTAATGGAGAGGAGAACTTTCAAGCTGCCAGCACAGTAGAATGTTGTGAAATCATCTCAGTCAATGTTGCTCAATACAGGTTCCCGGCTGATCCCTTCTGAATGACCCCTGGCAAAGTATGCCAGGACATCCCTGGCACTGCATTGAGCTGATGAGCTTTCCTGACAGCACAGTACCCTGGCCTGCATTTCTGAGCAAAGGTTGCATGTGTGAACAACCCTAAGTCCTAATAGAAGCCACTTTTCCATAGTGGGGCTTGGCAGGCTGCTCCATTCCATATACTCGGAGCTGTCAACATATGTATCCACTCTTAACACAGCAATGATTCTTAAGCATAGGAAATGTTTTAAATGTTTACACATTTTGTTCTCTGCATACATGTGTGTCTGTTAGCATTTTAGTGGACATTTCAAGGCCCTCAAGCCAAATGGACGAAAAAGAGCTGCTGGATTTATTCAGGGAGGTTTTTTTTGTTCTGGGGTTTTTGTTTTGTTTTTTGTTGGGTTTTTTTTTTGCAAAGGGGTTTCTTTTTCTGCACTCTACTTCCATCCCCAAGAAAACAAACAATGTTGTTGTCTTCACTGCAACAATTTGCGTGACTTCTCTTCTTGTACCTATGTTTCTTGGAGAGGTGAGGGAATGGGAAGCCCAAGAGGAAAGGTTCCTTATCACTTTCTGAATTTCTGCATGCACAGATGTGCAGCTACAAAGTGCATGTGACCTACAGTGTCCTTGCTATTTTACACACACTACACCTCCCCGCCCCCTGCACACAATCTATTTGAGGACAAGTGTGGTACGACAGCCCTTTATTCCATCTTGGGTATTGCGGAAGCCATAGTGTTGTCACAACAACATTACCTCCCTCTGCATCACCACCATGGCACTCCAGGGATTGTGAACTCACAGTGATTACCTGTCTCACCCAGTTTTGACACACTCTTAGGGATGTGGGATACATTGTTCATTCATTTTGCATTTTAAGGCAAATACCTAGTCCATACTTCTCACTCCAATGAATGAACTGAAACACAAATACACTTCTCCAAATGTTGCGATGCAGTTTTCGAACCAAAAGGTGTGCACAAACATGCAAATATTAATGAAAATAACATACAAAGCTACATCCTGTTAGGGGAAATTACTTGCAAAAATCTGTATATTAGGGGAAATTGTGTACAAAAATGTGTATGTTAGAAGAAATACTCACAAAAAATGCATCTGAATTTTCATGTGACAGTCCTGTAGGAAAAAAATCTAAATTGATGTGGACATTTGGTAAACTGAGAATGCTGGAAAAATGAGAAACTGGGAGAAAGCTAAATTGGAATATTTCCCCATTCTTACAGCCTCGGCTCCACATTACAACTGTGGTTGAATTGCCTTCATGGTTCAAAGGTAGCTTAGTACTATCAGCTCACTATGACTGATGGGTCCAAAAAGGCTTGTGGAGGTGGGGAACCCTCCTGTACCCACAGATTTGGCGTACATCAATCTTTGGAGGGTGGACCACAGACCACTTGCCACATAAGGGAAGTAGTGAGATTTCTGTGTCTCATTTCATATTGATGGATATAAAGTCAGAGAGAAGTGTTGGATAAATACTTCAGCCTTCCTTATGCAGATTCAGGCATGGGCAGAATGGGCCTTTAAAAAAGTATCACATAGACCTTTTCAAGAGCTGTTCAACAGTGGAATGGACTCCCTTGATACGTGGTGAACTCTCCTTAACTGCAGATTTTTAAGCAGAGGTTGGATGGCCATCTGCTTTAGTTGAGATTTCTGCATTGCAGGGAGTTGAACTAGATGACCCACAGTGTCCCTTTCAACTCTACAATTCGACAATAAGTAAATCTTCTCACCTCCCAACAGTCCAGCGACATGATTGGCCACAGCTACACTGAACAGGAAAATGAATGGCAGTTGGGCTCCGCCAGAAATATTTGTGATGGATTGTGCCCTGTGATCTGTTAGACCCACATGGCAGTGGGGGGTGGGTCAGAGCCAAAGTGTGGTAGAGCAATGGATGTGGCTCTTTGTCCAGTAGAATACATTCCAGCCATACAGAAGTCAATGGTTTCTACATACCCACAAACACCTTACACACCTCTCCATCTGCCATCCAGGCAAACAACAGGTATTTTAACATTTCAAGAACACAGTTCTGCCAGGCATAAGCAGTCAAAGAGGGTGCAGGGCAGGGCCTGTGGAGGAGGTACAGCCTGGACAGAGTCTTGAAGGCTGGATATAGAGGTGTTTGGAGGGCTGCGTTTGGCACCCGGGCCAGAGGTTCCCCACTTCTGTAGAATTACTACATGGCATATACAGGCATATTTAAAAAGGAGATGGGCCATTTGCCCGCCCACTGCTCATGGAGCAAGCCCAGCTTCTCCTGACTTTGCAATGACAGACATACTTAATGATGATTCAAAGGCTGATTATGTATATGTAATTTGTCCCTCTGTCACCATGATTCAGGCAAGCTTTCTGACTATTTTTTAACGCAGCAGTCATTTATCTGGATTCTGCCTTATGTCAAGTCACATCATTGGTCTGTCCAGCTCAGTGTTACTCTTGTCAGCAGATCTTTTGGGTTCAGGACTTTCCAGTCCATCCCTGGGGATGTCAGAGACCAAACCTGGAGGTTTCCGCTGTGGCCCATCATGTGATTTTAAAATCAATTGCTTAAAAAAAT